TCATGAACATGATCTTAAGCTTTTGTCTCTCTGGGTAGTTGTTGATGAACTCAGCAAGTTTCTTGTCAATGACATCGTCCTTCACTGGGATATAGACTGCAATTCTCTACTTTAACTCAATGATGTAGTTCTTAAGTGTTTCGATTTCAACTTCAGCATCCTTCAACTGTCTTAGAAGTTCAAGGGAAGTCTTGTTGGCCTTGTAGACTTTCTCCTCAAGTTCAAGGATATAGTCTGAAGCAGTTTCAAGTTCTTTCAATAACTAATCCTTTTGAGCGTCAATTTGGGCGATTTGTTGTCTTGCTTGAGCAAGTTGGTCTTCAACGTCTTCCTTCTTGGTAAGGATTTCTCTAAGCTCAAGAACTGTTGAGGTAAGTTCGAGAATGGTTTGTTGTTATCCTAGTAATTGTATTAAAACTATCGGTTATCTTACTCTTAATTAATTGTTCAAGCTCGTTAATTCTTCTTTCATAGGCATCTCTTTGGACTTCCTTCTCGAGTTCGAGTTGTCTAATCTTGGAGTCCTTATCCTTTCTCATGTCCTCCATCTCGTTTCTAAGAGTGTCTTGCTTCTGCTTGTGGTCGTTCTCAGCCTCATCCAACTTTCTGTGATATTCGTTCTTGGCATCCTCCATCTTTCTGTGATGTTCTTTGTTTGCCTTGTCTGTCTTCACATTGTACTCGTTAGTTAACTGAGCAAGCTTTTACTAATATTCTTATGTTACCTCTGTAAGCTTTTCGTGATTCTCTTTCTCTTGAGTTTCAAGCTTGGTGTGGAACTCTCTGGTCAGAGTGCCAACCTTGCTGTGATGCTCGTTGGACATCTGATCTACTTGCCTTTTATGGGCCTAGTGAGTATCTTCCAAGGTTTTTAGGTGATCTTGCTCTCTCTTAGCTTGGTGTTGCTTGAGGAGTTGAATCTCATTCTTAAGAGAGTCATTCTCATTGATGAGCTCATCTTGGTACTTGTTGTGGGACTCAGTGTCAACATGGACCTTGATACTGGTCTCTTAAATATGAATTTAGAGCTCTCCTCTCTTTTCCTCTGAATGAGCAAAATACTCTTTATTGTGCCTCACATCTAACTTAAAGTCTTCAATAACCTATAGTCATAAAGCTAAGCATCACACCAATATGTATGTATGTTATTTATAAACCCAGACACAGTACTGAGCCCTGGATAAGAGATACTTACCACTACTTTCTCTTGCAATGCTACAACAGTAGTCTTCAAATGATCAATCTCAACATCCTTTTCTGTCAATCCCTTGATGAGGTCTTTGTCGAGGATAACAAATTCTGTGTCTTGCTATTAGATTTGGGATTGAGAGGCGTTAGCGTTGGTTTGAGATCTCTTTACTGGAGATTAACGTCCGTTTTTAGGGGTTTATTTTGAAGCCATCTGGTTAGATATTTATGCGAAGTTTCTGAAAATAAATTTAATTTATATCAGAGAATAAAATCTCAAGGAATATATCTGAAAACTAAAGCTGTTAATGTGATCTGTTTAATACAATCTACTATAAGCATATATATAATATTCACTTAAAGATTATTATTTTCATAAAAAAAATATTACTAGATTGGGGTTTTGGGGTTTTGGGGTTTTGGGGTTTTGGGGTTTTGGGG